ACTGCAAATATGGAATACCTTTGGTCCCAAGCACTTTGGCTATAGGACATTCAACCTCTAGAGTACTATGTACTCTAAAGCAACTGACCACAAAAAGGGCAGGAGCAAAGGATCTATAGAACAAAAGGCACAAGGCACAGAAAACAAATAGTTCTTCCTCACTATTAACTACATTAAATACAAATGGGTTAAACTCTGTAACTGAAGGACAGAGACTGGCAGGATGAATTGAAAAAAAAAATTCCACCACAATTTGTTGTCTAAAAAGGACTTACTTTTGATATAAGAAAATTGGATGTTTATTTCATATTGGATATAAAAATCTATTCACTAAGGATCATATATCTAAATTTAAATTTTATATTAAAAACAGAAGAAAATATTTGTGGGAAACTTTTTATGACTTTAGATTTGCTAAAAATTTCCTAAAACAGCAAGTAGTTTAACTGGATTTCACCAAACTGTGAAAAATTTGTATTTCTTTTACACTCTATTGTGGTATACAAATAAATATTTTTCAAGAACTGGTCCTGGCCAGCCACACTCCATAGATGTGTGAGTTACAATAAATACTTATTGCTTCAGGTCACTAAGGTTTAGACTTATACACAGGACTGATCTAGACATATGACAATACTTTCCCTTCATCTGATATTGCTGAAAAAGAAAACACTATTGGAGCTGGGGGGATGATGATAAAAGCGTTTGCTATGCAAGCAAGAAGACCTAAGTTAAAATGTTTAGCACCCACACAAAAAGCCAGGCTTGGCCACACATGCCTGAAACCTAAATGCTAGGGAGACAGGGGGATCCATACAGTTCTGGGGCCAGCCAGCCACAACAGTGAGCGTCAGGCTCGGTGAGAGACCCTGTCTCAAGAAAGTAAGGTGGAGAGTGATAGAGAGAAGACTCCTGATGTCTTCTGCACATGCAGACATGGGCATATGCTCACATGTGCACATACACCATCCCACACCCAAAAGGAAGAAAGGGAGGGACAGAAGGAGGGAGGGACAGAGGGAAAACTGATGAACAGAAAGAAAGCATTAACAACCCAAGTTTTGTGTAGCAGCAAGGCCCAGAGTTACATTTGCTGGAGTGAAGGTAGAACGAAATAAAAAGAAACAAAGGATTTTTTCATATGAACATGTTCTAACTTTAAGAATTTTTGAGAAACTAGCAAAGAATAATATAACAAATACATGTTCAGCATTTTTTGAAACCTTTTTTTTTAACTAAAAATTATGGGAGAGGATAAAGTACCTTTTGATACTTTCTCTTCTTAAATGTAATGAGTATCATAAGTCTGACATGAATACTCTGGGGCTTCACTATGTTGTAAGGATAATACATAGTGTAGCCTAGTATTAGCCAAAAAAAAAATTGTCATCTTTTCCATTTCTGAAGAGTGTGTGAAGGTCTGAGACTTGGAAAGAGCATGAGTGAAAATGGAAGGACTCTGTTTAAGGAGAAACAGATTTAAGATGCTCGAAGAGGACGTAGTGTATGAGGTGAAAGAGGCTGTTGCTTGTAACACAGGCGAATTCCTACGGCACTACAGGGCCAGGGCGAAACAACAGGCCGCCGGCAGGCCAGCAACAGGCAGCCACAGCGGCAGGCCAGCAATAGGCAGCCACAACGGCAGGCCAGCAATAGGCAGCCACAGCGGCAGGCCAGCAGCGGAGCTGTGCTTCTGCAGAACTTAGCCTGAAAGCTGTTGATGGGGAGGGAACACGGGTGTTCCAGAGCACATGTCACCCACAACAGCTGTCTGGGCCACGCCAGCCATTTCAGAAGAGCAGACACAGCCTAGCGTGCTGGCACGAGTAACCCTGGTAGCTGTAGACAGTAGAAGCTGTCAAGGCCAGCAAGCTCTAGAAGGATTAGATCATGAGTCACTGGATGACACACCCTCCTAAGGAGGCAGAAATTTTGCAGAAGCTCAGAGGGTTTTGGAAGACTAGGAGCTAATGAAAGAACTATTGTTTATTTACTGTTAATGTTACCCCCAAACTGCTCTCCCCTAGAGAATTAAAAGTAGCATCTATAGTTGACAGTGCTTACTAACATACTAATAATAACGAAAATGACCATGCTACCGAAAGAACTCCTATTTTGGCATGATACCTTAATTGGCTGGACCCTGGGAGTAAGGATATAGATCACACTCAGTGGGCCAGCTCGGCTCTCTCACTGCTAGCACTTTCAAATGCCTGTGGGAAACAAAGGACAACTCTCCCTGAGAGATGCTAAGGCAGCCGTGGTGCTAACTGGGTGCTCCCGTGACTAATCTGAGGGATGCCTAGGAAATCATTATTTCTGGGTGTCTGACCGTATGTCCAGATATTGGTTTGTGGGTCAGCAAATTCAGCGAGGAAGACATTCTGCTGTGGGCCACAAAGAAGAAAAGGCAAAGAAAACTCTCTAGCTGTCTCTCTGAAGCTGACACATTTTTCTGTTACTGTTGCCTTTGGCCGTCAGACTGCAAGTTCATTGGCCTTTGGACCCTGGAACTTGCATGGGCCCTTCCTGGTGTGTGTGTGTGTGTGTGTGTGTGTGTGTGTGTGTGTGTGTGTGTGTGTGTGTGTGTGTGTGTGTG